ATGAGAAATTGGAGACCTGAGTTCGAATTCCAATCAGGTTCATTAAGTCACTTACATACTTACTTGGGAAATGTGTGAATCCATCTATACTTCTCACAGCTATGGGTTTAATAGCAGGACAGACAAGCATTTATTGTTATGGCCATAAGCCATGGTTCAGTAGGAGGGCGAGACAAAGGAAAAAACCTGGCAGAAATTGTCCCAAGAGTCACCTACCTATGCACACAGATCAAGCAAGCAAAGACCTGAATAAACACTTAAATATATTGGAAACAGGGTTTGAGTCACCATTTTGTGCCATGGCATTTATTGTTATGGCCATAAGATATGATTAAATTCCAATTTTTTTCCCTTTTAAATGATTTTTTTTGTCTCCAGTTTCATTAAGCACTCACTGGTTTATTGCATATTGAGAAATGTTCTAACCCCTAATTATTGCGACACCCTTATATTAGGCACCTAAGTGTAGCCTAAAAATGAGATCTAGATACAAACAGACAAGGCTTTGGTCACTAAGCTACATTTTTTAGTATCAATAAATAATGTCTGGTTACTAGTGGAAATAGCCTTGGTCACTAAGCTACACTTTTTAGTATCAATAAATAATGCCTGGTTACTAGTGGAAATAGCCTTGGTCACTAAGCTACACTTTTTAGTGTCGATAAATAATGCCTGGTTACTAGTGGAAATAGCCTTGGTCACTAAGCTACACTTTTTAGTGTCGATAGTGGAAATAGCCTTGGTCACTAAGCTACACTTTTTAGTGTTGATAAATAATGCCTGGTTACTAGTGAAAATAGCCTTGGTCACTAAGCTACACTTTTTAGTGTCGATAAATAATGCCTGGTTACTAGTGGAAATAGCCTTAGTCACTAAGCTACACATTTTAGTGTCGAGAAAAAGGCCTGGTTACTAGTGGAGATAGCCTCGGTCACTAAGCTACACTTTTTAGAATCAATAAATAATGCCTGCTTAATAGTAGAGATAGCCTTGGTCACTAAGCTACACTTTTCAGTGTCGAGAAATAAGGCCTGGTTACTAGTGGAGATAGCCTTGGTCACCAAGCTACACTTTTTAGTGTTGATAAATAATACCTGGTTACTAGTGGAGATAGCCTCGGTCACTAAGCTACACTTTTTAATGTTGAGAAATAAGGCCTGGTTACTAGTGGAAATAGCCTTGGTCACTAAGCTACACTTTTTAGTATCTAGTCTAGAAATGAGTTCGAGCTACTAGTAGGGAAAACCTCAGTCATTAAGCTACACTTTTTAGTGTACCTAGTCTAGAAATGAGGTTTAGCTTCTAGTAGAGAAAACCTCAGTCACTAAGCTACACTTTTTAGTGTACCTAGTCTAGAAATGAGGTCAAGCTTCCAGTAGAGAATTCCTAAATCACTAAGCTATAATTTTAGTGTAATTAGTCTAGAAATGAGGTCTAGCTATTTTGGGCCAAAATTAAGGATATCATACATCTGTAGACCAAACAATTAGATACTGAGAAGCTGCAATAAGGTGATTCCCTAAAGAAATGTTTATGATTTTTCTTTAAAAGAAATATTAGTTTAAAAATATTTTCCTTAATAATAATACACTGAAATATAATTTGTTTTTTTTTTTAATTTCAGGCTTATCTCAAAGGCCAAGACATTGGTCAGAAAACTAATAGGTGAGTTCTATTTTGTATATTTTTTATTTTATTTGATTTATCATTTCACCCCAAGCAAGGCAATAGAGCCACTAAGACACAAGAGCTTACTGAGAAAAACGTTATTGAAGAGAGAGGAGACTAAAAGAACAGGATTCAAGGAAACAAAAGACAACAATTGATGTTGCATTTAGATGTTCGAAGATCAAAGCTCACTGGAAAATAAGAAAAGAATTCCACAAGTGAGAAGTGTGAGAGAAGACACAGAACTTATACGTCATGTATAAAAATATTTGTCTCCTTTCAAGGTACTTTTGAAACAAAAAATAGATTTGAAACCATCACTATTATGATCATAGACTGTATAAAAAGTCACAGTTTAGTAGGAACTGATTTGATAAATATTAATAGCACATGTTTACTTAATGCTATGAATATGAGAAGTCCCAAAACTGGGACATTAAAAACTATAAAGCGAGCCTTAATTCTGTGATGAAAATCTATGCTCATGGTTAAGGAAGATTGGCTGTGTCCTATATAAAACACCTCTTTACTACCCTTACTCAAATGGGATTGCTGAATGAACGGTCCAAACAATAAAGATGGGATTGAAAGCATTTTCTTCTCAGCAAGAAAAGATTGAAACTTTCCTACCAAGATTATTGTTCAGTTACAGAACAATACCACATGCTGACAGATTAGAGAGCCCATCTGCATTAATGGGAATACAGATTAGAACTCCATTAACCATGTCTTATTAATGAAAACATATGGCACAAAAGAAATAAAGAAAATGAGCCGGAAAAAGTGAATTTCATAATGCAAGAAGGATATAACACAGGATTAATATGAAAGAATGGTAAAAATATTGTTGCCCATGCAGACCAGTTAAGAGTTAGCCAAAATTACAAGGAAGTACAAAGCCAAGCGAGTTCAAATGACTATGTAGATGGACAAGAAAGTAAAGCAGAGGAATCGATGGACAATCAAAATTCTTCAGAAGACTTGAAGTACAAAACATGGGACACTGAGAATAAAAACTAGATCAAGGTTCTCCATAATGAGAAAAAGGGGGAGGAAATATAGGAGAAGCCGTAGATCCACACAGGGTGTGAAACCCAAAAAATACAGGGAGATGTAATGGGATTTAGTTAATGGGTAATCAGCATGAAGAGATCTATAACTATAGCTCACAGGCAACTTTAACTCAGTGTACATAGAACATCTATGACTACTAAGTTTGTTCATCATAAAAATTCTGTAATGAGAAATAAAAATTTTATGGCATCTTAAATGTTTTGCTGCTTAACACAGCAAAAAGAAAATACTGCATGTTTTACTGAATGTTTTTATTTAATACGACAATGATAATGAATTTTAATTAGAAATGTAGATTGTATGTTATCCTAAATGCTGTTAGTTAACAGTACTATGAGAAATAATGATTGGTGTGAACACACCCTATAACTCTCCAAATCAAGAATGAAAGATTTGTTTACGTTACTGGTTACTTGTGTATGTTGCTCACCGGAAGTTTTGCAAATTGTTGTGTAATCGTCTCTTGAATATTGCATCTTAATGTGAAATCAAGAAGTAAAAGTAGTTTTATTACATTTATAACTATAGTACAGTATTATAATGTGAATTGTTTCAACTAAAAATGTTTACATCAGTAGCTACCATACTGTGGCATTAGTTAGCTTTACGCGATCCATACTAGCCAATGACAATACACCACAGGTTTTAAGGTTAGCTTTTTGTAACTGTTGTGTTAGATAGACCCCTATTTTTGGTGTTAATTTATGAGATTTAAAGGTCGCTTTATATGTAGAAATATACGGTAATAATAACTGACTATGCTCATCAAAGAAATTCGGATGAGTTGAGAATACAGTGGATACTGAGTGACTATTCATATTTCAAGCAATATAATATAAACTAGAGTTTCAACATTTATATTACAATTGCTTTAAAGAAAAAGAAAAATTTTAAACAGTAAAATTAATTAACCGTCTGTTAGCAATTGCCATGTAATCGTTTCTTGAAAATTGCATTTTAATGTTAACTCAATCTCTTGAATATTGCATTTTAATGTAAAATCCAGAAGTAAAAGTAGTTTTATTACATTTATAATTATAGTACAACATTATAATGTGAATTGTTTCTAGAAATATTTACATCAGTAGTCATTATACCGAGGCAGTTGTTAGCAATCCATGGCGCAAACCTACTTACCAGTGTTAATATACCACAGGATTTAAGGTTCGCCTTTTGTAACTGTTATATTAGACAACCCCCTATTCTTAAGATTTAAAGGTCACCTTATATGCAGAAATATATGGTAATTCCTGGTATAAATTCTCATGATTAATTAGTTAATTATTGGATATCATTAAAAATCCCCTTGCTAAAAAATTCTTAATAAGTGTAGGTTACTAGTAACTTAGAGCAAAGAAATGCCTTTGTTTTCAAAAATGTCTCATTTTTACATGAAGTGAACATTGAATTGTCAAATATATTTTTCAACAATTATATTTGTTATTCATCTTTTCAGACAACTAAAGATCCTGAATTGAAAATTCTGAAATTTTCATAAAATTTTAGCAGAGTAAAGTACTTTCTTTATATTTCTTGAATTAAGAGCAAATAATGTAAAAGTTACAACTATAAAATACGTAAAATAAACCTGGACTAAAACTTTCAAATCTTATCAGAATTATTCTTCCTTTGAGCTTCATTATTCATTTACACTTCTCGCTTGTGGAACTTCCTTCTGGCTTCTTGCTTTCCATTCAAGTTTGATCTTCAAAAATTGAAATGCAATGTCAGTTGTTATCTTCTGTCTTTTTAATTTCTGTTCTTTTATTGTTCTCGGTCCTTAATGGTTTTTTTCTTCTTTCTTATATTCTTTCTCACTCAGTAACCACCCTCCTTCCATCTTAGTGGCTTTATTGCCTTGCTTGAAGTGAAATGATTAAAATGAAATTATTTTTACTAAAATATTTTTATGCTTCATTCTTGAGTATTTTTATAAAAGTTGAAATTCTTCTCTGATTGATTAATACAGTTTGATTTTCTCTACTTTCTGATCCATAAGAAATAATAATACAATTCGAGAATGCTTTATATGAAATTCTTGAGATCAGAAGTGCCTTGGTTTTGAGATTTTTTTTTTTGATTTTGGAATACAGGTTATTTAATTTGTATATAGCATCTATAAAATGGAGCAGCTTTGGTAATAAATATCCCTTTAAATTTCATAACACAGCTTATACATATAATCTTAAGGTAGTTTAAAATAAATAACATATACCCTGAAGGTAGTTTTATATAAATAACATATACCCTGAAGGTAGTTTTATATAAATAACATATACCCTGAAGGTAGTTTTATATAAATAATATATACCCTGAAGGTAGTTTTATATAAATAATATATACCCTGAAGGTAGTTTTATATAAATAACATATACCCTGAAGGTAGTTTTATATAAATAACATATACCCTGAAGGTAGTTTTATATAAATAGCATATACCCTGAACGTAGTTTTATATAAATAACATATACCCTGAACGTAGTTTTATATAAATAATATATACCCTGAACGTAATTTTATATAAATAGCATAAACCCTGATGGTAGTTTTATATAAAATTTAATATATTTTGTGTACTTACAGATAACAGTAATGATACTAGTCATGTAATGCTCACAAAGATTTTTAAGGGTTGAAATTAAGATTTTGCATAAAAAGAATGTTTTGTACTTTCTGTATGTGTTCAAAAAAACATGATCATTACTTACAAAAATATAGAAATGCAGGACTTTTTGACATTTTGAATAATATCGCTACTGAACATGAAACATCTGCTAAATAATCCACAACTGAAAATGTTGCTGTGATGATTACTTACAGAAAAACTGGCGCCAGCATAGACTACGTAGCTGGGCTGAGGAACCTTCATCCGGAGCAGATGAAGGTCACTTACAACAGCTGCACATCACCTAAGAGCCTTCCCAGTACTTTCTGAAATTTCCCATTTGTGGCAAGTCATGTCAGCACCTGAAAAACTTCTGAATTTTGGAGGTTTTTGGAATTTCGGATAAAAGATACTCAGCCTGTAAATGATTCCTAGTATTAGGAATAGTTCTTAACTAATTATTGGATCTCATCAACAAATTCTTTGATTTTTCTCAATAACTGGTGGTTAGTAGTAATTTATTACTAACATCATTGCCTCTGAATCAAAGCAAAAGCTACATGGTCATTTGGCTTTAACTTGAGAAAGCATTGGACTGAGGATATTGTTGTGCCAGTCTTTCAAATGGACATGATTGATTTGAAAATCAGCACAAAAACAGTTTGGGATAGTGACATAAATATTTTCTTTATATTTCCATAAATAAAAGCAAATAATGTGTGAAAGTTCAGACTATAATTATAAAGAAAGGCATGAACTAAAACTTGAGCATTTCTTTTTAATCATCTGACCCCAATCAATGCGATAATGCCATTAAGACGCAAGGGGTTAATGGGAGTGAAAGCAAACAAGAAGACTTTCATGAAGAGAAAGGACAATAAAAGAACAGGATCCGGGAAGACAAAAAATTGCTATTGTCATTGCATTTAAGAGAATGATGTAGAATCATATAAAGCTGGAACATAAACAGAGAGGAAAGATATAGAAAAGATGGCCAAAAAGATGGCAGTGAGAAACGCTTCCACCTGGGGTGACTGCTGGTTTCAGGTCCAGATAAATGAAACCAGTCATACTGGCAGTGGTTGAAACACCAACTGATATTACTGCCATATTGATTTATCAAAAGAAGGATATCAATATTTCAAAATTGGTCCTGACAAAGAAAGAAAAATTGTGAGAAATAGGTAGAAATCAATAAGTCATTTTAATTAGTTTTTGTTTATTTTGAATCATTTCACCCCAAGCAAGGTGATAATGTCACTAAGATACCAGGAGTTACTGAGAAGGAAAAGACTCTGGTGAAGGGAAAAGACAATAAAAAGACAGGTTTCAGGAAGACATAAGAATTTCAATTGACATTGCATTTAAATTTTTGAAGATTGTAGGTAGCAGGGAAGCAAGAAATCGGAATTGATTTGTACAGGGGAGAAAAGAAACTATTAGAATAGAACTCATGGTTGCATTTAGCTATTTAAACAGTAAAACAATGAGACCTAATTGCCAACCTAGTACTATACTTAAATTCACGTAGTCAAGGTATCAAGGAAGAGAGCTTGTTAGAACAACTGCCATGAAAATATTTATAAATGGGGTAGATTATCAAAATTATTGTTTGTTTGTATCTCATTATGACAGAAGAAAACGTTCTCTTTTTTTTAATAAAAACCTTTAGTAGACTTTTTCACTACCTAATATATCTTTATACAAATTTTTAATCCGCAATATTATTGGCCCTGATCCGGTGTCTCAGCTTCAGTCACTCTCTCACCATTGTCTCCCTTTGCCTTTTTTATAAATACTTTCATGGTAACTGCGCGGATGAGCTCTTTACTATGGTGCCTAGACTCTTTGAATTTATGCACAGTATTAGACTAGTGATGAAGTATCACCAATTTTCAGTTGAGCTGGCTAGATGTAACCATAAACACTATGATAACAGTTTCTTTGCTCACACTTCTCACTTGTGGAACTCCCTTCTGGCTCTGCAGAAAGATTTTCTCATCTGAGTCTATCCTTCAAATCTATATCCGTCCTTGCATGGAATATTGCTGTCATATAAAGTCTGATGTCCCCACTGTAAGTCTCAAGGTCCTCTACAAAATCTAGAGACAGATATGCAATGTGATAGGTCCTGATCTGGCATCTAGTTTACAGTTGATTTCTCACGGACGTGCTGTGGCTTCTTTCTGTTTCTTCTATAATTATTTTCACAGCAACTGTTCTGATAAGTTGCTTTCTCACATTCCCCAGACTGTATGAATTTAAGCGAGCTACTAAGTTGGGATCTCAGTCCCACCCTTTCACTTTCAATGTAACTGTTTCTTCTACTCCAACAGCTTCTTCTCTCGCCCTTCCCATCTGTGTAATTCTCTTCCTCTTACTTGCTTCCCTGATAACTATAATCTTCAAATATTCAAGTGTAATGTCAATCGACATCTTCTGATACCGTGATCTTGTTCCCCGTCTTTCTTGTTATCCTCTCCCCATACACGTCACTTTACTCTTGTTCTCTACCCTCCATAACCCCATATGTGCTCATGGCACTCCTCCCTTGCTTGGGGTGAAATGTTTTTAAAAAAAATGCTTTCCAGACAATTTTAATCTGCAAAAATTTAAATGCAATGTCAGTTGCTATCTGCTATTCTCCTGATTACTCTTCCTCTGTTCTCATGCCTTAGCAATGTCCCTATTTCTAACTCATCCACACTCAGTAACCCCTTGAGTCTTGGTGGCTTTCCTTTGCTTGGGATGAATTCAATTAAAAAAGAAAATTTAGATATACACTTTATTTTTCTTCAAAATGACCTGAAAACAACTTGTTGACTCAAAGACTGCATTTGTCAGAATTTAGCTTACAATATGTTGGAATGTACATACTGTCACTTGTATTTAGCCACTGACAATTACAGATCACTTTATGAAGCCAAGATATGGCAAAAAAACAGAAAGGAATTATTTCTTGCATAAACTTAGCTTTGAAGCCTGTTTCACAGCAGAGGTCCTTCTTAAACCATTTGCTCTCTTCCCTCCCTCTTTGTTTCTTTTTCTCTCTTCCCTCTCTCTTTGTTTCTTTTTCTCTCATCCCTCTCATTTTATCTTCTTTTCTTCCCTCCCTCTTCCTCCGTCTTTTGTTTTTTTTTCTCTCTTCCTCCCATTTTATCTTTTCTCTTCCCTCCGTCTTTTGTTTTTTTTTTCTTCCCTCTTCCTCCCGCTCTCTTTGTTTCTTTTTTCTCTTCCCTCCCTTTTTTTTTTTTTTTTCTTTTTTTTTTTTCTCTCTTCCTCCGTCTTTTGTTTCTTTTTCTCTTCCCTCTCCGTCTTTGTTTCTTTTTCTCTCTTCCCTCCGTCTTTGTTTCTTTTTCTCTCTTCCCTCCGTCTTTGTTTCTTTTTCTCTCTTCCCTCCCTCTTTGTTTCTTTTTCTCTCTTCCCTCCCTCTTTGTTTCTTTTTCTCTCATCCCTCTCATTTTATCTGCTCTCTTCCCTCCCTCTTTGTTTCTTTTCCTCTCATCTCTCTCGTTTTATCTGCTCTCTTCCCTCCCTCTTTGTTTCTTTTTCTCTCTTTCCTCCCTCTTTGTTTCTTTTTCTCTTTCTTCCCTTTTCTCTCTTCCCTCCCGCTTTGTTTCTTTTTCTCTCTTCCCTCCCTCTTTGTTTCTTTTTCTCTCTTCCCTCCCGTTTTATCTGCTCTCTTCCCTCCATTTTTGTCACTTTTCCTCTCTTCCCTCCATTTTTGTCACTTTTCCTCTCTTCACACATGATCTCTTCCTTTCTTTATGTCTCCTTTACTTTCTTCCTCTTTTTATTGCCTCCTTTACCTTCTTCTTACCCTTTTTTGTCTCTTTTACTCACTTCCCTCCCTTTATTGTTTCCTCTTATCTTTCCCTCCCCAACTTTTCTCTTGCTCTTTTCTCTCTATTTTTGTCTCCTTTACTCTCTTCCCTCCTTTTTTATCTCTTTTACTCTCTTCCCACCCTTTATTGTTGCCTCTGATCTTTTCCCCCCACTTTTTGTTTTCTTTTTTGCTCTTTTTTGTATTTTTTCCTTTTCTTTCAAGGAATTTACCAAACCTTCTCCTTGGAATTGCTGCCTTACTCTTCTTTACTGTCAACATAACTTTTGCTACATTGTCGATGAAGTCCCAACGTGAACAACACGAAGTCATTCTGTCTTACGTCTACAGTCGTGTCATTATCAACGATGGACTTTTCCTCACTGTGGCCACCTTTCTTATTATTGTCATTGTAAAACTCATGAAAGTGCCGATCACAAAACGTTCACTTGAAGCAAAGGTATGTATGGCTTCACTCATTTTCTCTAGCTTTAGAATTTTTCCCCTGAAAGAAATGGGAAATGCTAGACATTTTGCCAAATGAAACCTAATCCATAACATCAGACTGGGAGCCATGATCACCCATGACCCATCCAAATGTGGATGATAACGGCTCTTGTATCAAATCTGGTATAGATATATAGTATAGATATCCACCAGCACGCCCACGTGGCAACCAGATGTGACACAAAAGTTATGATCGTCCACACCCGGTTGTGATGTAGGCATGCTGGTGGATATCTATACTATTTATGTCTACAAAGGCTTTATCCCTGATATGGGGCAATCCTCCCCGATACATCAAATCTTAAACAATATAATTATAAATGCACATTAATGCACATGTAGGTGCTGCAGAGAGAAGAAAAAGTGATGTTAGCCAAAACCAACGTTCCTGCCAAAAACTCTGAGCCTGGTCAAATGTATATAAGCTGACACCTCTAGACTAGAATGAGTGTGGAGAGGAGAGATAAGTGATTTAAAAGAAAGTGCAAATGCCTTATTTTCATTTGAATCCTTTTTATTTATTTTTTTCTTATGTTTTTTTTTCCTTGTTTTTCGGCTCTTTTTTTCTTACATCGTGTTTATTGTTTTGTTGTTTCCTATGTTTTTTCATGTTTGTTTTTGCCTGTCCATTTTATGTTTTTCCAAGTATGTACGGGTGGTGTAATGGGTAGCAGTTGAGAATATAAAATCAGAGACCCAGGTTCAAATTCCAATCAAATTCATTACATCAACTTACGTGCAAATACACTTGTAAAAGGTATTAATCCATCTCTTCTCCCCCAGTTATGGGTTAAATAGTAGCACCTATCTGGGGAAAATCATGGTTATCTCCAAAAAGAATTTTAATGCAATATTCACTCACACACACAAAAAAGAATTATTTTTACAATTCAAAATATGTTTTTGCTGTAAATAACTCACAAAAGATTGATAAGCCATAAAAAACAAGTCAAAATCAGCCATGTTTTATAAACCCATTACTATTTCTACTACTTGCTTCTTCTGTCTGTGGTTAGGCCTGGGTATGATGATAAACTACATCTGGCAACAAAGCCTCTGATTGAGAGGTTGGAGGTTTTAAGGAACACAGAAACACCTTTTAATTGCTGTTGCTCCCAAAACGGTATTGAAGTATGAAAATACATTTTTATAGTAAAAATACAGCAATACATTTTTATATAAATTAAACTACCAACAATACATATCTCTATCTATAAAAGGCAGGATGTGTGTGTGTGTGTGTATGTAACGAATGCAAGGCCGCAATTTTCGATAGAATTGCACCAAAATTTACAGGCACATGGAAAGTGGAAAGGCCAAGACCAACCTTGCATTTCCCAACTCCCTTTGATAGTAGAAATAATCGATTTTTTTCATGCTTCTACAGCAGTTTTCCTGTAGTTTTCTACTGGCCAGAGTGAGAGCCAATAGCTGGCTGCCACGAATAGGCAGGAAGATTCTATTGACCAGCATGAGAGCCAACAGCTGACTGACACGAATATAAACTAGCATGTTAGCATGTAAAAAAAATCGATATCTACATTCGTCACAAATGGGAAAAAATATTAAATCTGCATGGCACTTTACTCTAATTGGCTCATTCGCTTGCTTAAACTCAACGTTGATTCTAATTCTGCAGAACTGAGTTGGGTGTGAAAAAGTATTTGTTATTAACATTCTTTTTTCATTTGATTTTTCCAGTTACGAGTCCTTTTTTTAAAGCTGATCGTTTTGTGTTCATTTTGTTTAGTTATTTTTCATAACAGATTTAATGTTTAGTATAGAGCTTAGAAAAAATTCGCATTGTAAGATAGGCAAGAAGTAAGGCATGTAGCAACATCAGCATGGTAAAGGGCACTCCTTTAAAGGCAAGGAAAGGCAAAAATATTTTAAGTCAAGTAATAGTCATACGATTTTTGAATCAAGCACGGACAACACCGGGCCATGCTGCTAGTTTATAATAAAATTACCAACAATACACACGTACTATCAAATTGTAGTGACTTCATGCTAATCCGTTTAAAATACTAACAAACAACCAACATGAACACTTTCATGGCATTAATTCATATAATATCCTAAAAATTTCAAACTGTATTCCAAAATATAACTTCAACAAAACTACAACATAAACACACGCATCTCACTGCCTCTAGTAATCATTGTCCACACAAACATGTATATACACAAAAGCTGAGTCTCATCTACCATGTATTTAATTGTGAAAGCAGAATAACATATGATATTTTTATTACTTCAAATCTCCCAAGAAAATTAAATTTTGGCATTAAATGACCCATAAGATGTTTATATGCCATTAAACAGACAAATCAGTTTGTCTGTGATGAAATGAAAAAAAAAATTTTTCATAGAAGAGAAAGGATAATGTAATTTTTAGACTTAGCAATGTTCTGAGGAGACACAGTGGTGTAATGGATAGCAGCTTGGATTAAGGAATTGGAGAGTTGAGTTCGAATTCCAGTTGAATCTGTTACATTCACTTATGTGCTAATACCCTGGGGAAAGGTATGAATCCTCTTCTTCTCCCCCCAACTATGGGTAAATAGAAGGACAGACCAGGTTCTGTAACCTTGGATGGCAACTGGTCTACTGCAAAAAGAAATGGCAACCTACTGTAGGAAAAATCTGCCTCCTCAATCATGTATCAAAAAGATACATGATCGCCTAAGCATGTACCATGTATGGCACATAACTGACTGAGATATATATATATATATATATATATATGTTTAAATATAGTAGTAGAGCTGAGTTTGAATTCCACTCAAATCCATTGCATTCACTTACATGCTAATACCCTTGGGAAAGGTATGAATCCTCTTCTTCTAAGCTATGGGTAAATAGCAGGACAGGCCAGGTTCTAAAGCTTTGGATAGCAACTGGTCTATCGCAGAAAGAAATGGCAACCTACTGTAGGAAAAATCTGCCTCATCAATCGTGTATCAAAAAGATACACGATCGCCCTAAACATGTACCATGTATGGCACATAACTGACTGAGATATATATATATATATATATATATATATATATATATATATATATATATGTTTAAATATAGTAGTAGAGTAGAGCCGAGTTTGAATTCCATTTGAATCCATTACATTCACTTACATGCTAATACCTTTCGGAAAGGTATGAATCCTTTTCTTCTGCCCCCAGCTAAGGGTAAATAGCACCATAGACCAGGATTATAGCCTTGGATTGGAACTGGTCTACCACAAAAAGAAATGGCAAGCTACTGCGGGGGAAAAAATCTGACTCATCAGTCATGAATCGAAAAGATATATGATCACCTATGCATGTACCATGCATGGCACATAACTGACTGAATGTTCTGATGGCTGATATTAAAGAAAAAGGTTTTGAGTAGAGGAATGTGTGTATAAAAACCTGTTTAATCTATATTTTCTTTTGCTTCCAGGCCATTTCAATGTGGTCAGTTGTTGGAGTTTCAATATTTATAATCTTTACTTATGGGTCTCGGGCTCTCTACAATATGATTGCTGTGATACCATCGTTGAAAGGTCAAACCCCAAGTTTTGGTTATGGATGGTTTGATGTCTCTGATCAGGTAATCTTACAATTTTTCTTTTTTTCATTTATATATGCATCAAGCTTGAATTTATGTGTGTAATAACAATCAGTCAGTTATATGCCATGTATGATACACGCTTAGGCAATCGTGTATCTTTCGATACATGACTGACATGGCAGATTTTTACCGCAGTAAGTTACCATTTCTTTCTGCAGTAGACCAATTGCCATCAAAGGCTACAGAACCCAGTCTGTCCTGATATTTACCTATAGCTGGGGGGAGAGAAGAAGAGAATTCATACCTTTCCCAAGGGTATTAGCACATAAATGAATGTAATGGATTCAACTGGAAATCGAACTTGGTTCTACTACTCTATTTAACCATATTATATATTTTATATATAAATATATATATAATAAAAAGGCTTAAACACTAATATTCCATGGTCACAATTTGTTCCATTGGAATCGTAAATATGTTTGAATTTGTAGGTCTGAGGAATTGGATCGTATTTACAATTCCAATGGAATAAATTATGACCATGTATTAGTGTTTAAGCCTTTTTATTATATCCTTACTCTGTCCTGGACATTGAGTTCTACCTGGATTCTATCCTCTTGGATTTATTTTTTATACAAATATATATGTATGTGTATATATGTATGTATATATATTTATATATTTTAGATATATGATTGCATATGTATGTGTATATTTACCACTAATATTATCTTTCGGTCGACAAACAATTATTTCATCTTCAAGTTTTTGATTTTATAAGGAAAACATATGCCTGACGATGAATAAAAGATTATTCGAAAGTACTTGCATTTAAAAAAAAATATAAACTGGAAACAACAGACAACAGTTTTATGAAGGAGGATCTCGTCACTCTATGGATTAACAGTATTTTAATACATTTATTATACACTACTAGCGATTGATGTCGCCAATAATAGCATTAATATTGCTGATTGATTCTATGTGTGATTATTTCTTTGTGTGTGTATATATATATATATATATATATATATATATATATATTTATGTGCCATGCATGCTTAGGCAATCATGTATCTTTTGATACATGACTGACTAGGCAGTTTTTTCTTTTTTCCATAGTAGGTTGGCATTTCTTTCTGCAGTAGATCAACTGCCGTCCAAGGCTATAGAACCTAGTCTGTCCTGCTATTTACCCATAGCTGGAGGGAGAAGAGGAGGATTCATACCTTTCCCAAAGGTATTAGCATGTAAATGAATGTAATGGATTTGACTGGAATTTGAACTCGGCTCTCCGATTCCTCAATCCGAGCTGCTATCCATTACTCCACCGGGCCTACTGTAATAACAGTAATATAAGAGTAATGGGCATGTGGCCAAGTGGTTAGAACATTTGCATTCTGACCATGAGACCCTGGTTCGAATCTCATCACAGTTGATTTGTTAGGTAGGAGACTTCCTGATATTATAATTATTATTAATACGAGTATGACAAAGTTCTTGTTGAAGGGACAAAACAAAAACACAAAAATTAAAAAATAACTGGGGCCAACAAAATAAGATTGATTTCTGAATAAAAATAAAGAAATCTCTTCAAATCTTGTTTTCACATCAACACAATTAGCACGGGAGCTAACACAGGGACTTGGCATTCTGTTCTTGATGAACACATGGAAAAGAAGGAAAAATTAATGAAATAACCAGAGCCAACACAATAGGACTGATTCCTGAATAAGAATAGAGAAATCTCTTCCAGTCTTGTTTTCACACTAACACAATTGAAACATTGACCGTAACATATTGTCCTGCCATTCTGTTCTTGGTGAAGAGATGAAAAATAAACAAAAATTAACAAAATAACTGGAGCCAGTAAAATAGGACTGATTCCTGAATAAAAATAGAGAAATCTCTTCCAATCTCTTGTTTTCATGTTTACCCAATATGAGACTGTTTTGCAAAACCAAAAAATATTTGGGCAAATTCTTTTTGTGAGTGAAATTTTGATTGCTTCATTTTCTTTTGAAATAAAATTAGAAAGATCAGGTTTCAAGCAAACTGTTTTCCCACCTTTTCTTCATTAAAAGAGTGAAATAGATATTAATATTTCACAATCTCTATTAAAGGCCATAAAAGTGGATTTTTTCCAGCATGATTCTGTTAGCATTCCTAGGATTATTTCAACTGTAAATTGATAAGACTTTGCCACCAATCTAGTACTGGGTTTAAATTAATAAAGTCTAGGTACTATAGAAGAAAGTTCATCAGAACAATTACTATGAAAGTATTTATAGAAAAAGCAGAGGGAAGCTACATTACAGCAATGCAAAAGGGACTGAAGGTGAGATGACAGGTCAGGACCAATAACATTGCAGATTCTTATTTGGATTTTATCAAGAATCTCTAAATATATAGCAGAAGCACCAGACCAAGTATTGCAGCAGTATTCAAATCAAGGATGAATTGTAGACTTATAAATATATAAAATAAATTTTGGCAGAAAAAAATGACAATATATGGCATTCAAACACATGATTTTGTTTAATTTATGTTGTTTTGCACCTCTATATTCTAGACTTAGCTCTAAACTACAGCATTCAAACCAAGATTTTTGACTTCTTTGTCAGTTTAAACAATCACCTTTGGATAAGTTTACTGTGTTTTTAAATTCTTAAAACCCCTATCTACTTTAGAAGAAAGGGCTCATTTAAAACGTAATTGAGGAATTTCATGAATGCACTTTCATTACAGTGAAAACTTGTCAGTACACTATATATATATATAATATGCAGGTGTAAAATGATTCTAATTCCAAAAATGTTATAAAAAGTTACATTTTTTTATCCTTTTACTAATTTTTCATCTCCCCACCACGCACACACATACATATATATATATATATATATATATATATATATATATATATATATATCATTCACAGACGGTACTGTTTTGGTGTATCACAGCTCCTCAGTGCAACTAGATATACGAATGCCTCAAGCCAGTATCGAAACCCAACTGATTTGGTGTCTGTCAGAGCTTCTACCACTGAGCTATCTTCACTCGGCAGAATGATACAGCTAAATCTAGCATATTGTTTTTACAAATGTAAACAAATGTCAATCAGCCTGAATGATATATATATATATATATATATATGAAGACAAAAGGAAAACTTGTCTTAGGCTAACACGTTTTGTCCTCTGATGGACTTTATCAAGGCAAATGTGAGAATTTTATGTTGCAACAAGTATTTATAGTCAAAAGTAAAAATGCTAGTTCTTCAAAATTTTTAAATTTAATAGATGCTCATAAATATTCATCAGGTTAACTAAAAAGTCTAGGTAAATTATGGCAGATGCTAACTGACATAATTTAATGTCTTATAAGTGACAATGTGTAAGTGGTGTTGTCACTGATTTTTTTTTTTTTTTTTTTTTATCAATTAATATTTAAATTATTTTAATATGAGATTAGTTTATGTGTTATATATTTTAATTTTTGAACATTTTTGTGGTCATGTATGTTGGCTTGGGAAAGAAGCAATTCTTTCAGGAATGGAGATTTTTTTGAAAATCCAGGGTGTAAATTTATATTTGATAAGATTCAACAGTAGCACTCTCGGGAATTTTTTGTCTATATATATATATATATATATATATATATATATATATATATATATATATATATATAATCTAAATTATCTGAAATGTCTCAACAGAAATCTTTATCTAAATTTCTGTCAAGAAACTTTTCTTAAGCAAGTTTCTCCATTAACATCTATTGATTCTAATGTAAATTTCTCGACTCTTCTCAGTACAATGGCTTTTAATTGGCTTGCACCAGCAAATGAAAGTAGGTGACAGAATCTAAATGAAAGAGTTGATTTAATCCAATGGCTTAAAAGTATTTTCCCAAGTTACTTCTTTTCTCTGAAGCTATTCATCCTACTCCTCACACCCAACAATAAAACTAAAAGTAAAATCCTACTTCATGTAAAAGTGATTATATTTATCAATTAGTTCAGAATCAGCATGTGACCAAGTTATAGGTACATGGCCAAGTGGTTAGAACATTGGTTTCCAACCATGAGATCCAGGTTCAAATCTCACCATGGTCATATTGTCAAGAAGGTGACCTTAATGTTATCGGCCTGAAGAGGCAATCCCAAGATATGTGACATGTCTTGTGAGTGAAACTGTGTAGACAGAATTATTTGGAAGTCTTTGGTAGTCATCATGTGACGGTTTGAGCATACTGGCCTCTTTCACACTGTTGATTATGACAGATAATGCACTCTTTTCCAGAAACTGTATCAAATGTCTGCTCAGCATATTTGCAGTAGGTGTTGAAAAAACACCAATGTGCCTCAGCAGGCGTCTGCAGTAAGGATTGGTTAGCATCCTAGTGGACAGGTATACTCAGATACAAGTAACCAGCCATTAATAGTTTAGAATCCAACACATAGTTCCAAGCGGAATTTTGATGTGAAATTTTCACTGTATAATGTTTGATCTATGTGACTAATATTCACCTTCATCTACTATGTGCTATGTCAATTCAGGATGTGGGCAATCATGGAGAGATCATGGATCTCCACAACTTCCTATACCTTGTAGCTGTTGGTAACGTTTGTCTTTTACACCATCTCTCTCACTCTCTTTTTAATCATTCATTTACAAACGATTGTTTTTTCTCTACTCTTCTTGCCTTCAATAAGTCCTGTGCTTATTAAATTCGCCAAGCCCTTTTTCCTTATTATGTCTTCCAAAAATTTCAACTGTCTCCTTCTGAAGTATGAGTGTCTTTTTTGTCTCCATTTTTCTTTAAAATTTTTCATTAGACACATATTCAGTTCACCTTTCTGTAGAACCACATTTCTGTTACCTCGAGTCTTTCCTTCGTCTGTGAGGAGATTGTCCAGTATTCGCTGCCATCATGAAGGACAGATATTACATAAAATTTCAGCACTCTTTTTATATCTCTAATGAAATTTTCCTTTTTTCTTTATACTTTGCTTAACTTTTGGAAGGCATCTT